TATTAATCATTGTTTTATGAAATTCTCTTCTTTTCATATTTAGCATTGTTTATAGAATCTCTTTCTTTTCATATTTATCATTGTTTTATAGAATTCTTTCTTTTCATATTAATCATTGTTTTATGAAATTCTCTTTCTTTTCATATTTATCATTGTTTTATTACATTCTTTCTTTTCATATTAATCATTGTTTTATGACATTCTCTTTCTTTTCATATTAATCATTGTTTTACATTCTCTTTCTTTTCAATATTTATCTTTTCTTATGACATTTTTTTCTTTTCATATTTATCATTATTTTATGACATTCTCTTTCTTTTCATATTAATCATTGTTTTATGACATTCTCTTTCTTTTCATATTTATCATTGTTTTATGAAATTCTCCTTCTTTTCATATTTATCATTGTTTGATAGAATCTCTTTCTTTTCATATTTATCATTGTTTTATGGAATTCTCTTTTTTTCATATTAATCATTGTTTTATGAAATTCTCTTTCTTTTCATATTTATCATTGTTTTATGAAATTCTCTTTCTTTTCATATTAATCATTGTTTATAGAATCTCTTTTTTTCATATTTATCATTATTTTATGACATTCTCTTTCTTTTCATATTTATCATTGTTTTATGACATTCTCTTTCTTTTCATATTTATCATTGTTTTATGAATTTCTCTCAATATTGATGAATGCCCTCTTAGCATTGCCATCAAAAAGATGTCGATAGAAATTGTCCAATTCCTAGTTGATCATGGTGCTGATGTTAACATGAAACTTATTCTCTTTCTTTTCATATTTATCATTGTTTTATGACATTCTCTTTCTTTTCATATTTATCATTGTTTTATGAAATTCTCTTTCTTTTCATATTAATCATTGTTTTATGAAATTCTCTTTCTTTTCATATTTATCATTGTTTTATGAAATTCTCTTTCTTTTCATATTTATCATTATTTTATGAAATTCTCTTTCTTTTCATATTTATCATTGTTTTATAGAATTCTCTTTCTTTTCATATTAATCATTGTTTTATGAAATTCTCTTTCTTTTCATATTAATCATTGTTTTATGGAATTCTCTTTCTTTTCATATTAATCATTGTTTTATGAAATTCTCTTTCTTTTCATATTTAGCATTGTTTTATGAAATTCTCTTTCTTTTCATATTTATCATTGTTTTATGAAATTCTCTTTCTTTTCATATTTATCATTGTTTGATAGAATCTCTTTCTTTTCATATTTATCATTGTTTTATGGAATTCTCTTTCTTTTCATATTTATCATTGTTTTATGAAATTCTCTTTCTTTTCATATTTAGCATTGTTGTATCGAATTCTCTTTCTTTTCATATTTATCATTGTTTTATAGAATTCTCTTTCTTTTCATATTAATCATTGTTTTATGAAATTCTCTTTCTTTTCATATTTAGCATTGTTTGATAGAATCTCTTTCTTTTCATATTTATCATTGTTTTATAGAATTCTCTTTCTTTTCATATTAATCATTGTTTTATGAAATTCTCTTTCTTTTCATATTTATCATTGTTTTATTACATTCTCTTTCTTTTCATATTTATCATTGTTTTATGGAATTCTCTTTCTTTTCATATTAATCATTGTTTTATTACATTCTCTTTCTTTTCATATTTATCTTTTCTTTATGACATTTTCTTTCTTTTCATATTTATCATTATTTTATGACATTCTCTTTCTTTTCATATTAATCATTGTTTTATGACATTCTCTTTCTTTTCATATTAATCATTGTTTTATGAATTTCTCTCAATATTGATGAATGCCCTCTTAGCATTGCCATCAAAAAGATGTCGATAGAAATTGTCCAATTCCTAGTTGATCATGGTGCTGATGTTAACATGAAACTTATTCTCTTTCTTTTCATATTTATCATTATTTTATGACATTCTCTTTCTTTTCATATTTATCATTATTTTATGAAATTCTCTTTCTTTTCATATTTATCATTGTTTTATAGAATTCTCTTTCTTTTCATATTAATCATTGTTTTATGAAATTCTCCTTCTTTTCATATTTATCATTGTTTGATAAAATTCTCTTTCTTTTCATATTTATCATTGTTTTATTACATTCTCTTTCTTTTCATATTTATCATTGTTTTATGGAATTCTCTTTCTTTTCATATTTATCATTGTTTTATGACATTCTCTTTCTTTTCATATTAATCATTGTTTTATGAAATTCTCTTTCTTTTCATATTTATCATTGTTTTATGAATTTCTCTTTCTTTTCATATTTATCATTGTTTGATAGAATTCTCTTTCTTTTCATATTAATCATTGTTTTATGACATTCTCTTTCTTTTCATATTTATCATTGTTTTATGGAATTCTCTTTCTTTTCATATTAATCATTGTTTTATGAAATTCTCTTTCTTTTCATATTAATCATTGTTTTATGAAATTCTCTTTCTTTTCATATTTATCATTGTTTTATGAAATTCTCTTTCTTTTCATATTTAGCATTGTTTGATAAAATTCTCTTTCTTTTCATATTTAACATTGTTTTATTACATTCTCTTTCTTTTCATATTAATCATTGTTTTATGACATTCTCTTTCTTTTCATATTTATCATTGTTTTATGAATTTCTCTCAATATTGATGAATGCCCTCTTAGCATTGCCATCAAAAAGATGTCGATAGAAATTGTCCAATTCCTAGTTGATCATGGTGCTGATGTTAACATGAAACTTATTCTCTTTCTTTTCATATTTATCATTATTTTATGACATTCTCTTTCTTTTCATATTTATCCTTGTTTTATGGAATTCTCTTTCTTTTCATATTTATCAATGTGAGTAGTATATGTTGAAGGGTTTTGTGACTTTTTTTGTAAACGTAAGAATTCATACATTTTTGAGCGATTTTGTATCATTTTTTTTTACATATGAAGTAAAAAATGTATGATTTTTACGGTTTTTATTCTTACGTTTTTGAATAAATCAAGATTTAAAAATTTTCAGAATCGTAAGAAATTTTCACTAAACCCATACATAATGAAATAAAAAAAAATAAAAAAAATAAAAAAATAAACTTTAAAAATTCATGTCTTACATTTTTGAATAATTTATTTTTTTAATTCGTATGAAAATGAGTGTCAAGACTAACGACGTTAAAAAATTGGGATTCACAAACGAGGAAATAAAGGATATATTAGAGGAGGAGTTATGAAGTTAATAAATATTATTTAAGAAATTGTCAAAAATTCGCGGAGTTATTAAATGATTTAGATTATGATGGAAAAATGAATAAAGATGATGTTATAAATTTCTTATATCCACATCTGAAGAAGAAAAACCTAAAGAACCTGATGTTTTCCCTGAATATTATGAAGAACGGATTAAAGATGATGAATATGATGAAATTGAAAGACTGGAAAAATAAGAGATGAAATAGATGAAAAAATTAAGGAATTAAGAGAAGTTGAAAAATATAATGAAAATGAAGTAGAGGGTTTAATGAATATCCCAGCTTCAGAATCAGAAGTTCAAAAATCTCATGAAGAAAGATATAAAAATTACTTTTTGGAATCTACTAAAAATTTATTAGATGGTGAAATAGATGAAACACTTTCAGAAGAAGGCACAAATTTATTCATAAACATAAGTTACAATTTATTGACGATGGAGATTATCCATGTATATTACTTTCACCTCCTCTTGATTCTGAAAAATTCAAAAAAGCACTGAAAAATGTAACATATGCAACAAATACGATTAAGAAAGAAGACCATGATATTTACACAAATTATTATTTAAATAAATGTACAGGTGTTGATAAAGTTTTTGATTTGTTAGATAAAATATCAAAAGAAACAATTGGTACATATAAAATTTTATGCGATTGTGGTTTCATTATTGAAGATACCAATAATGTTTCATATGAAAGAACAGCACCGAAGGAAGACGAAGTTGAAAGGTCTATACCATTCGTTATTAAGAATAAAAGATATGAAAACTTATAAACATTATATTTATTCATTTATTTCAGAAAAAATGGAAGCAACCCATAAAACATCATCTCATCATTTTATAGCTATTCATACATTCCTTTTCAAAGTTGTGAAATTAAATAAGACAGGAATTAGATTTAATGTATCAGGGTACGCATTCTTGAGTAAATTAAAATGTATTCGTCACGTCGCAGATGATAAAAATTTATGTGTTCTTAATTCATTTTATGGACTTTAGCCCTGGACTTTAAAAAAAATAAACTTTATTTTTATTTATTTTTTAATTTTTTATTCTTACATAAATGAACAAAAACGGAACAGCTAAAATGAATGATAATCAAATAAGAGCCGAAGGTAGAAGGTTATTTAAACGCTTCTATAACATTCCTGATGGTGTTAATCCTAAAACTCGTAGAAGTTATTTAAATGAAGCCATAGATGCATATGAAGGATTTGACATTTCATCAGAAAGTGAGAGGTTAGCAAGAATGTTAAACGTTAATATTGATTTTTATTATTGTGACCTCAACCAGAAGACGTAGACATAAATAAGGTAGACTTTCCATTAGTGGAATCAATAATGATAGATCCAGAATTTGAAACAGTAAATATTTTATTAACACAGAGTCCATGTGGAAAACTTCACGCTGACAGAATTACAGACGTTGAAGCACTCACAGGATATAAAGTTTGCCCCTTTTGCAAAGAAGAAGTATATTCTATCCGTGATGACCCAGAAAGGAAAAACCAAAGAAGATTTTTAAAACATTGTGAGAAATGTAAAGAAAATAATGGAAGATTAATTCAAGACGTTCAATTGCAAAACACACAACAACCATATGCACCACATATCACGAAACAGAAGATATATCAATGGCTATTAGCTCACAATTTGCAGGAATATTATAAACCAACAAGATATTATATTACTTTTGACTTCGAAACATTAGAGACTAAAGAAGAACTTCAACTTTCTGAATGTGCAACTTTGAACGCTTACTTAAAACCATTTATGGTATCATCAACTGTCAAAATAAAGCCGCAAAGCGGCGAGGTCGTAGACCGTGATAAAACATTTACGAGGAATTTTTGCTTAACATCAAGTGATTCGTTCATCTCTGATTGGATTGAATTTTTATTTTCAACCTGTTCATTAGTTGCTAAATCAAATATTGAACAATATGAAGAATTATTGAAGTCGCAAACGGACCAAACGGCGGGGACTTTGTCTCATACATTAAATGAAAAACAGAAGGAAGCATTTAAAGAACTTCTAGATGAGGAATTCAATAAAGTGAATATCATAGGTTTTAATTCGGGAAAGTTTGATTTAAATTTAATTCTTCGTGATTTAAACACTGCAAAATGGAAAATAAAATCAATGCTGGGTTCTTCTTCTCAATTTAAGCAAATCATTGTAAAGAAAACAAACTGTCCATATGAATTAAGATTTATTGACATCAGAAATTATATAGCGGGTGGAACATTAGACCAATTCACTCAAGATTTCGGAAACAATAAATCACGTGTTAAATCCTTTTTCCCTTATCAATTCATCACATGGGAGAATTACGAAGAAGAATTATATAAAGTGGAACCATTCACTCAAGATTCATTTTATTCAGCATTAACTCAAGAAACATATCCGATTCAGATTATCAAATATATCTCAATGATGCTAAAAATTTTGAGAATAGATTAGAATATTTTATTCATTATTGCAATAAAGACGTTGAAATTATGATTGACCCAATTGATAAAATTATTGAAGAAACATTTGTTTATAAAATTGACATGCTTCATAATCTTTCTTTATCATCGAATGCATCAATGATTCGTTACGCGTTAGCATATAAGAACTTCAATCCTAACGAAACATATCCAGAAGAAGAAAATGTGGAATCAAGTTTTGAATTAACAAAAAGTATTGGAAATATAAAATTGATTCATATAAGAAACAAGATGAAAAAGCAGAAAGGGATACTAAAAACAATGTTTCAATGGATGACTATCAATACTATCACGATTTAATCCTTTCATCTAAATGCAAAATGTGTGGTAAAGCGTTTACATATGCTAATAAACCAACATTGATAGAATCGATAATGAAAAACCACATACCAAAGAAAATTGTCAGTTAATGTGTTGTTATTGCAATGTCGTAAAATCAAATAAAGATGAAGATGTTCAACGTTTAAGAATCAATTTAAGAAATTATGCATTAAAAAATAATTTACCAATGACTTTAGATTCAGTTGAAGCTTATCACATTCTCCGTAATGGAATTACTGGTGGTTTATCAAATGTTCAACATAGAGTAATCTTAAAGGAATCACGCACATTAATAAACTTTCATATAATCCAGAAACTAAAACTGTATCAAATGAGGACACTTCCAACATTATGACTCATTTCGTTGGTGTTGATTTTAATTCATTATATCCTTCATCATTTTCATCTAATCCTCATGATTTCATTCAATATACTGACCATAAAATGTATATGCCGGGAAGATTGAATGGTGTTATCATTTGTGATACAGCAACAAAGAAAGCAAAAGCACTGGGAATAATTAAGAAGAAAAATACTTTATTCGTGGCTGAAGTAAAGGGTCACATTGATGAAAAATACATTAATGATTACATAAACTTTTTACCGATAATAAGAAACTTAGATATTATCACAGATGAAAAAACAATTGGCAGTTTTATGTATAATTACATGAAATCAAACAATCTACCAGTTGACCAGAAACAGAGAAATTAACTCAGTTAGCATCAACACACAACCAATATCAACCATTTTCTTCTTATTATCTTTGGTATCTAATAGACAGATTTCATTTTATCATTGATGATATTCAATCAATTTTAACATTTACGAAAAAACTTGTTTTAATGAATTTGCGAACAATTTATGAACGAAAGACAAAAGGCTGAATTAGAAGGAAATAAAGGAAAAAGTTTATTTTGCAAGATTTCACTTAATGGATCATATGGTTACGATGCAATGAATACACAAAATTACGCAAAGACTAAAATAATGAATGCACAGAAGGCACGCGTTGCATGTATGTCAAATAAGTTTAAAAACATAAGAGAAATAGGTGAAGATACATATCAAGTGATGCTCAAAGATAGATTTTATAGATGTGAAACATGTTTACAAGAGGCATTCTTCACTTTAGATAATGCTAAATACTGGTATTTGGTTTTCATTTATGATTTTATGTATAAATGCATGGATGTTAATCGTTTTCATTTCATTGAAGGTGATACTGATTCATCTTATTGGGCTATTGCTGGCGACCCAAATCTTCCTAACACTCAAGCATTTCAAGCAATTGTTACCGATAAAAAATTTTATGATAAAAACATTTTCAAATTCGCACCTTTTGATTTCTTCTGTTTTGATGAGAAATTTAAACCTAAATTAAAGAATAAAGCTGAAGAAAAAGCACATGAGAAGAAGTTATTGGGTTTAGCAATTGAGAAACAAGGTGATAACATGGTTGCTTTATGTCCTAAGTGTTATACATCATTCAACGGTTCAATTGATGGAAGTGATTTTAAAAAGATTGCACAAAAAATGAAAGGAGTTAGTTTACGACAAAATAAACAATTAACACCTAAAAATTATTTGGATATAATAAATGATAAAGTGATATTTGATGGTCAGAATATTAATTTACAACTTAAAAATGGGTCAATGACTCGCTTAACAATTGGTAAGACTGCATTAACAGGAGCACACACTAAGGCTGTATGTTGTGAAAATGGATGTTGTATGCCATTTATTTAATAAAATACCACAGAAGAGACAAAAGGAACCGTTAATGATGGCTTTGATACTATGATTCAAAGAGGTGGGCACCCTTAAAACATTTATTTTATTTTTATATAAATGGATAATGCAGATTTAAAAATTTTAATTGATGATTTAGTACTTAATCAAAAATTTCTTAGTTATTATGAATTAAAATCATATCTCCAAAAATATATAAAATATAACGGGTGATGATATGGATATTATTATCCATATTATAAAAATGAAATTTTGAAATATCATGATAAAATAATTTCTAAAATTAAAGACAAAATTAAAAATAATGAATATTCAAAGGGAAAAACTAAATCACAACTTAAACAATTGAAAGATTTCAAAAATAAAGTATTAACAGAAGAAGATATTGATGAATTATATAAATTATATAATCCTGAGCCGCAAAAGCAAAAGGACAAAAACAAAAGGTGCAAAACGCCCAGGTCCTTCAGACCATAAATGAAGCACAAGCTTTAATTTATGATTCATTAGTTAAACCATATTCAGCCCGACTTTTAAATGAAGATCAATTTTGGAATTCATCCTTCAACATAAACTCGAAGCGGGAAAGTATATTAAACCTTTATATACAGCATATTTAAAACAAATGAATAGAATACATCCAGAATTAATGAAGGAAGGAATGAATTCCAAAACTTCATCATCCAAAATCAAAGCAGATAAAATTAAACCACTTGCAACAAACAAAACCTCTAACGACAGTACCTGCAACACCAAAACCGCCTCCTCCTTCAGTTAATCCTTCATCATTCACTTTATTATATCCATTTCAAACATTAAAGAAACAAAAAGATTTTAAAAAGGATTTCAAGATATTAAATAAACCAATTGACCCAAAAATTCAACCGTTAAAGGAAAAATTTGGTCGCCCTTCATTTGCACCATATCCATATTCATATGAAATCGATCATTTAGAATATTCAAAAGGAAACGTTACTTATTTATTTGCCATTAACATTAACACCAGATATTTATATTGCATTCCGGTGAAAGGGAAAACAGAACAGGAAACAAGAAGAGCTATTCAATACTTACTAGATCAGGAAAGAGTAGATAATATCAGGGGTGATGGTGATAAAGGATTTCAGGCAGCTATGACTCATTATTTCCCACAAATTAATTTTTACTTTTCATCCTCTCCATATACGTTTCATAATAAAATAGTTGATGCGGTAATGAGAACTCTTAGAGATGCGTTAGGGGTTAATGGTCAGATATACTGGGATGGAAATCATGACTCCATCATACAGCAGTTAGTATATATTACAATAATACATGGCATAGAACTATTAACATGAAACCGGTGGAAATGAAAAATGATATTTCAAAAGAATGGGAATATATTAGAAAGCAAATGGAAAGGTTGAATGATGTTAAACGTGAACAAATTAATTCGGGCTCATGAATTTTAAACAAGGGATAAAGTTTTAATTCATCTCGATTATGGAAAACTGATAAATCAATGACAAAAAGAAGACGAAGATTTGACACAATAGCTGAATTTGTTAGATATATTAACGGCAATGCATTAGTTGAAGTTGACAAGAAATTAATAGAAATTCCGATTTATTTTATTACTCCATTATATTTAAATAATATTTAATTTTTTTTAATTCGTAAGAAATGAGTGACAACGAAGCATCCAAGAGTCCAGACGATGAATATAAAAAGAAACTAAACAGAATTAAATCAAAAATATGCTATTACAAAAAGAAGTCGCAATGCGGTGGGGTTGAAAACGATAAAGAAATAATCGAAAAATTAGAAACTTACCGTTCAATCCTTAAACTGAGTGAAGCAAAATAAAAGAATTTAATAGAATAAATAAATTGATTGGAAGAGATGAATTTAATAAAGATGAATTTTTAAACTCTATCCAAATTTAATTTTTATTCCTCTTTGACAACATCTCTCTTTCCATCATTACTGCATAACCACATTTTCTCAATTTTAGTGGTTTGTTATTTTTAACATGTTCTTGCATCATTTTTATCATTTCCTCCCTTGTTATGATTCGTGGTAAATTTTGAGCTTGTGGGGTATTCATTTATATAAAAATAAAAATTTAAATTATGCCGTTCTAAAGTTTGTGACAACATGACATTTTGACAACATAGTGGGTTATTCGATAATAAATTATTTTTGAATAACTGAAGGTGTCACCACGTCACCATGTGTCACCAGGTTATTTAACTTCTCTGAAAAAATGTGACAACATGACATTTTGACAACATAGTGGGTTATTCGATAATAAATTATTTTTGAATAACTGAAGGTGTCACCACGTCACCATGTGTCACCAGGTTATTTAACTTCTCTGAAAAAATGTGACAACATGACATTTTGACAACATAGTGGGTTATTCGATAATAAATTATTTTTGAATAACTGAAGGTGTCACCACGTCACCATGTGTCACCAGGTTATTTAACTTCTCTGAAAAAATGTGACAACATGACATTTTGACAACATAGGTACGAAAAGAGGAAGGCAAAAATAAATTCCAATCATACTTTATAAAGCTAGACCTTCAGGTCTCGCCGCTTAGCGGCTCATTTACAGGTATTTCATCGTCAGTAAATGAATCCTCATTATCGTTTGGTTCAACCTGTTTATATAATCCTTTCATTTCTTCTTTCAAAACATAACACCATGTTTGTTTACCATCTATTCTTACCTGTTTCCTATCACATTTATCCTTAATGCTCATTTGAAAGTTTTTGTCTTTCATGTCTGATGGTTTGCAGAATAGAGCATTTTCACACGTCATACCTGCACATAATTCATCATAATGTGTATTTATCCATTCATCTAAAGGATTTGTTGATAACTCGATTAA